AAACCGGATGCATGCGGTGTCGCCACTACCACATCGTGGTGCGAGTGATGCAGATGATCCCCATGCTCCTGAACCACATCGTGATGGTGTAACTCGCTGTGCAGCTCACCGGCGGTGTGGTGATGGTGATGCAGGTCAGTCACGTGCAGGTCGCCAGCAGTTTGGTGATGGTGATGCAGGTCAGGCACGTGCACGTGATCATGGTGCAGGTCGGCAGTGTGGATGTGATCGTGGTGCAGGTCGGCCGTGTGCAGGTGATCGTGATGATGCAGATCGTGATGGGTCGTGGCTGCGGTGTAACTGAAAAAAGTGGAAGAGAAGTGTGATCGGAATCAGCATAATGACATACGTTTTTGTGACAGTTGCATGAATGTAGCAAAGAGGTGGAGGAAGTAACGCATTCACTGACATATTATGTAATTGAAATGAAACCTTTAGCTCGACTGCACAAACGAAGCCAATTAACGATTCTATGCGGATATGTGTTTGTGTGCGCAGTTCATTATGATTCGCACTGCATTGCGGCAGAGGTGACACATAAGCAATCACTTTGCAATCACTTCAGTCAAATAGTGTTGGTTTACGTTTTCCAACACGCATGGCTTATAGGATCGCATAAAACTTCATTGATCCCTAATGACCTTTCAATCATTGATTCACTTCAGCGGATAGCAATCAATCGAAATGGTGCTTCCGAACTAATGGCTTCTGCGTCGTTTCCACCCCAAAAACACACATGTGCCACACATTTCTAGCACACATGATGGAACACATTTTTTACGCCACAAGCATTTATCTCAGATTTCTCAACTCCCTCTTTGTTTCCGAGAGAATCAAAGAGTCCATAAAAACGCACCCGAACTGAAACTGGCAAGCGGACGGCGCTGGCCGAGAGCGGTGTTATCGGTTACCAAATTAGAGGTGCCCTCTCGAGAAAGTGAAAAGTCGTAAAATTTCTCTAACAAGGCGCACGTCAGCCGGAAACAGACAGGCAGTGATCGATCGAAATGGTCAAATTTTCACACAAACAGAGCGAACGAAATGCGCAACCGTTTAGCCAGACGAATGGATGATGGGATGGGGAAAACGACAACAACGGAAGGAAAACATATTCAAGTTTATTTTCCCGCCCACGCTAATCACATTGTATGCTAATCGATTCGGACAAGCCGGTTCGGTGTGGTGTTTATGTGTTTTAATATTTCACTGGTGATTGCCGGCATCGCCGTTCGCCATAGACGACCGATGCCGGACACAGAATGAACGAGCAATGAGCGGCTGACTGGCGTGCGTCTGTTTGCTCAGATCAAAAAAGACCACAACCAGCTCGATCCGATCCGAGCTGTGATTTGGGGGGATTGCCACGGTAGTGCTTGTGCACCATCATCAGCGGGTACCAAATGTAGTTAGACGTGTTGTTAGTACAGGCCAAGCCGTAAATATCGATCGAATCAGGGCAGCACTGTAATAGCAACGCGTTTGTGGTTATTCGTTGTTTTGGCAAATGGTGTGTGCTGGCTACTGGTTTGGACGAACGAGATTCATGGTCTGGGTTTCGGTATTTGGCAGGAAAATTGATGTTTGTTTGAGTTTTGAAAGAATGTTTTGGGAAGGTAAAGGTCAAAGTGTGTAGCTGAATTTGTTTGTTAAATTACACGTTTCGATTCAAATAGCACAACAACAAAATTAGAAATTTATAACTCGATCGTACACGACGAATGAGAACGACCTAAATTTGAGTTTAGTTCACATATAATCGCCAAAAGGGCAGGAATTCAGTAAATTTAACTAATGTTTTTCTACGGAAAACCTCAAAAATCTGTCAGAAAATGAGGAAATTTGACGAATATTTTACTCAGTCTAGGTGTAGTACCAATAGACTGAATGAATCCAATCTTCACTTTTTTCATATTCGAGAATTCGTTCCTGGACAAAGGTGGTATGAATTCGGTAGAAAATAAGAAGCAGTTTTAAGAAGGAAAGTCGAAAATTTTGCAAACAAAGTTTTATGATGCAAAATCACTTTGATCATCCCCGTTTTAGGATCTTTTCCAGGTGTAATCTGCCAGAAAAAGCCAAAATCTTGCACGAACCTCTCCGAATTGTTTGAATCATTTAATATGTCTTCTTATATAGTAAACATAATTACCTACCTTAAAGCAAAGTTTCATTCAAATTAAACATGGTCATTTTTGTTAATTGACTTGAAATTCTAAAAATCGTTTTTTTTTTCAGTGTTGGTCTCAAACGATTTTTTTTTTTTTAAGACTTGGACGATTTCCTAAAAGTCATCAAAACAACACATTTTTGCAGGAGATGTCATTTTTCCACAATATCTTTTTGAAAAAATCAGCAGAAAAAGTTTGGCCCTCGGGAAATAAAGCTTTGCGAAATTCCCATCGATAATTTTCTTAGTGAAAACATCTCGCTTGCGAAAATGAACTTTTGGCGATATTTCCAACGCTGATTTGGTGTAAATTAAACCATTTCTTATCAGAAATGTTCGTACTAGGGCATCGTTGTTTACTATTTTCAGAATTCACACATTATGAGAAAAACTAAAATAAATACATTCGCTACGGTCTTCGGCGACAGTTTCGTATGACAGAGCCGGTCATATGACATTTTAGTTTGGTACTGTAATTTGATAGCTTGTTTTGCAAATGTCGGAAGCAAAGGCTATCGATTATCACAGAGAATGTGTCGACTACGGTGACTGCTTACAAGACTGTTCGTTGCATTAGCTGAAGCTACACAGGAGGTACTATGGTAATATGGCTCAAGCAACTGTTAATGGACTTGAATGAACCAGTGACGTTGACAATCTTTGAAGATCACCAGAGCTGTTTAAAGATGTTGGAAGGAGAAAAGAGCAATAACCGAACAAAGCATATTTCCATCAAGTACAAGAAGGATGATGTGAAATTCATATATTGCCCACAGAGGATATGGTGACGAAGCCACTAGCTGGAGTTCGAATCACTAAACTGGCAACGGCAAGCGGATTGGAAGCAGCAAATTGAGAAGGAGTGTTAGAGTAGGCTGATAGATTATCAAGGAGGCTATGAACAGGAATTCATTTATCATCACTCAGTAATAAATAATTCAATCTGTAGGTATAAAAAAACTAACACTTTCTTTTCAAAATGAAGCACCCTACATGTACATGTAGCATTGGACATAAGATTAATGTTTCTGCAAGACAAAGCATGACAATGAAAATCCCTCCCCATGGACATGGAGGTTGACGGTACTGAAGCAAAGGGTTATGTTTAATTTCTTTATATTTGCAACGATGATGATTTCCTATAGTGACACATATCACCTTCTTAATGCTTCAGTATGCCTCAAACGATTAATTCTTGGTTGTTAATAGAACTTCCTTGATGAAATCGGCTGCTTCATGCAGACTGAGCAATTCTGATTATAGTATCAGATTTGTTCTGTATACAGAGGAACTGGGAGGGCTTATTAGAAACTTCTCACCAATAAAGTAAATTTTGCATATAATTTTATTAATATTCTATTTTATTTAAGCATATTATTTTTGTTACAGTCAATTAGCATTAGCATACGATACAAGATATTTAATATTACTTGCTCGTTTTTGCGTTAAATAATCAATATTTATTTTACTTGTAATTACATTTGAAAGTTTTTTTCAAGTTTTTTTTTTGTGATCTGAAATTTTTCCCACTTTGGTTAGAAGTTTCGAAGCTAACGCATGTTCACAAGCCTAATAGAAAGATAGACAGAAAAAGTGTATCATGAAGAATGGTTGCATGCAAGGTTGCTTCCACTCACTTGCTATAGATGAGTGATTTTCGGAGTTTTGAATTCGTTAGATGATGTAATGGAGATTTGTGTTGTTGGATGCGGGAGGAGATTGAAGGGCGGGTGTTTGACGCATAGAGCCTGTCAATTTCGCTTTCAGAGTGTCGCAGTCAGCGGTTTTATGATTCGTGAGTGCTCGCGATTCGTAGAATCATTGATTGTGACTGCAAGTGGATTTGGCGGATTTTGTGTGTCGGATGCTTGCTTTTTGGCCTCTTCTTGTGTCTAACATGTGCAAAGTATCATTATAGCGTCTAATGGTTTTTAAATTCCTGGTTGCGTGAAATATATTTGTGAGCATATATTTTTGAGATTTTAGTAGTCACGTTTTGTTTGTAGTTTATATTTTATTTCTTTCATGTAATTATCGTAAATAATAGTTATTCAATAATAGATAGTTTATCAATATATTCGTACTTTGACACGAAGCGCTGTGGATTATGAGATGCTCGATGACCCTGGAGGGATCGATTTTGCTTAATGAGCAGAAAATCATGGATTTAACCCCAAGCTCTTCCACAGCACAATAAATCGGCACCAGCATTTGTATATTTGATATTGAACATTAACCTCGGAAACTATTTGCATATCAAGCGACAACGTAGTCCTGTATTGTCGCGAAGCGTTATGGTTCTGAGATGCTCGATGACCCTGGAGGGATCGTTTTTGCTTATTGAGCAGAAAATCATGGGTTTAATCCCAAGCTCTCCATCGTGACTCTTAAAATTCATGATCACTAAACAAAATGAGTATTTTCTTTCGATAGTCGGCTATCGAGAGATTAATTGAACAACAAATAAACAATACATACTTTTGGTTGCATCGTCAACTTGAGGCGAATTCTAACCGAATACCCTACCCAACCCTCCAACTCCGTAGCACTTATGAGGGTGTCGCTAAGTCGGTGGCCTCTCGTTAAGTAAGTATTACATCAACATTTCCTTCCCTATCCCTAGTTATGGTAAAGATGGGCGTGGCCGGGAATAGCGACAGTCATGCTTCTGTTACTCTTGTTTAGATTGGAACCAATGTTTACTCCCCAGCATTATTCCTGAAAGTAGTCTAACTGAGGATTTCAGAAAAGACGTGAGTGTCGCTAGTATCCAATCTACGAAGTATATCATAACAACGCTAACGCTAACAAAGCATGACAATGAAAATCTTACCTTTCCAAATCGCCCGTAAAAACGGTACCGAATAGTGACAAAACTAATACTAGTACTGGTAATAGCATCTGTAATGAAAAAGAAACATAATTCAAAGATTAATATACATAAAATCTGTTTGACTTAACACTTATGCAAAAGCAGGCGAAAGAATTAAGCTGAAATGTATTATGTTTACATTTTTTTTGGTACACTTTTAAACGAACGCTTGTTGAAACACAAAAGAAGAAACGTTCACGCTTGCATTTGCCCACAGTCACAGAACTACTGCAAGCTACGTATGAAGGAAAGAATCACTGGATGGATTCATTAATAACTCTGAATGGATTCATTAATATCTGTACATTGGAGTGTTTGGAGTGTGTTGTTCATTATTTTATGACTTCATACTATAAACTTCATATATATGCGGTAATTAGTCAGAAATTAATACAAAACTGTGTCGCCCGCTATATCTTGTCTTGTGTGCGAAAATGTAGCGTAACTGAAAAAAACCGTATAGAAATGTCACGAAAAATTTTCCACCTTACAATTTAGTTTGTTTTGGTTTGAGGTCGGTGCCAATATAAAATGTTTAATTTTCAAATGTACTGTATTAATCCAGTACTGATACCAGCACTGATCAAGATTAGAGTACCAATGATGGGAAAAAAGGGACCATCGAAAACACACTACTCTAGATTTTACATGTACTCTAGGAAACCAGCTGGTTGTAAGGTGCGATAAAATTAGGGACTTAGGAGTAATTCTTGACTCGAAGTTGACATTTGTAGATCATGTGAATACCACAATTCACAAAGCAAATAATATGTTGGGATTCATAATAAGAATATTGCAGTGTGGTTTGGGCTCCATACCATGAAACTTATATAAATCGTATGGAATCAGTTCAAAAACAGTTTTTGTTATTTGCTCTTAGAAAACTAGGCTGGACCTCTTTTCCCCTTCCTTCTTATGAGTCCCGTCGCATGTTGATAAACATTGAAACACTTAAGAAACGAAGAGAAATTTCCATGATTTCTTTTGTTAATGATATTATCTCACAACGCGTAAATTCAGAAAAAATATTAGCAAGCCTAATTTTTTACGTACCATCACGCATGTTAAGAACTCAAAATGTATTTCAACTGTCACCTCACAGTACGAATTATGGTAAAGATTGATCAATCAATAGAATGATGAGAGTGTATAATAATTATTGTGAGCGTATAGATCTAACGATGTCTAAAGATACAATAAGGAGAACACTAACTGCTAGGATTTCATCTCATTAAGTTTAAAACAATTTTTATTTTTTAGATATTTGTATAGCAGTGTATGCAGTTACAATTTCAAATCGTAGGTATGCATTGCTTCAGCTTATTTTCCAGGAGACGTTGATGAAGTCCCTCCTTCTTCGGTTGAGCAGTTTGTCAACTACTGTAAAAAAATAAACACCCAATTTATAATAGGGTGTGTGATGCAAATGCCCATCACACAATATGGGGTAGTACTGAAATTAACAAAAGAGGCATCTGCTGAATTACATATCCTCTAGCGATATTGACATATGTAATAGAGGAAATTCTCCAACATTTATCAATGTTATTCGACAAGAGGTTCTCGATCTCACGATCTGCAGTGACCTTTTAATAGAAAAGATTATGGACTGGCATGTTTCTGATGAAGAATCGTTGTCAGACCACAAACATATCAGGTTTGATTATAAAGCCGGACCAGTAATTTCAGAAAACTATAGAAACCCAAGAAAATCGTTTCCATTTACTGAATAACAATTCGATTAATGACGAACAGATTAGGACGCCCATGCAACTAGAAAGTGCGGCTGATGCGGTCATCAATAAAATGATCTCATCATATCATGCTAGCTGCCCTATCCAACATAGATCATACAGTAGGGATGTTCCATGTTGGAAGATATCCAGACGGTTGTTCAATAGAGCAAAGGCTCTAACTGTATACAACAAAGAATTGAGGCGAGCCAAACGGAAGGACTGGAGACGGGTATGTGAAAACATCAATAGCGCTCCAACAGCTGCGAAGATGCATAAAGTTCTTTCAAAAGACCATTCAAATGGTCTTGGTAGCCTCAAAAAAGAAGATGGGACATTTACTGCTGACTCTTCTGAAACATTGGAAGAAATGATAAGGACTCACTTCCCAGGGTCGACTCCTTTGGCGCCTGAAGAACAACAGGACTTTGACAAGGCAAGACATGCATGGTCTGAAGATGCCAATCTGAAAGCTTGTGAAATCTTCACACCATTTAGAGTTGAATGGGCTTTCAGTTCTTTTCAACCTTTCAACTCTTCCGGGAAAGATGAAATATTCCCAGCATTACTTCAACAGGGAAAAGAAGTACTCATTCCCCTCTTAACTGAACTAAAGCCAGTGTTGCTTTGAGCCACATACCAAAAACATGGAGAAAGGTTCGAGTTGTCTTCATTTCAAAAGCTGGAAAAAGAGATAAAACAACTCCGAAAGCCTCCAGACCCATAAGCCTTTTTCTGGTTAACAAAATCGAGAAATCGCTTGAAGCCAAGGAATCAGCCGTGGTTACTTTTCTTGATATTTAAGGAGCATTCGATAATGCATCCTACAGCTCAATGCGTTCAGCAATGGAAGCAATGGGCTTGGATAACTGCATAATCGAATGGATAATGGCGATGCTCACAGATCGAGAAATTTATGCTGATCTTCGAGGTGCGCAACTAACTATGAGATCGATGAAGGGTTGTCCTCAAGGAGGGGTACTATCACCCTTGTATGTATTATTGTGGTCTTTCGTAGTGGAAGAACTCCTTAAAAGTTTAGCGGAGCAGGGTTTCGAGGTGATTGGTTACGCAGATGATGTGGCTGGGAAAGTTTGAGAACACGATTTCAAATCGGTTAAAAACTGCCCTAAACATGACCTTCCATTGGTGTAGAAGAGAGGGCTTAAATGTAAACCCTTCAAAAACTGTCATAGTTCTTTAACCAAAAGGAAAAAAAATTGACACAGCCTACTCTAGATGAAGTTCAAATTCAGTTCGCAGATGAAGTTAAATACCTAGGTGTTACTTTGGATAGGAAACTGAACTGGAACTCTCATCTTGACAAGGCTATCACCGTTATCACTAAGGCTACAAATGCGCTATAGGTCTGTAGTAAAGCTGTGGGGAAAACGTGGGGACTACGACCGAATATGGTACACTGGATTTATTCGGCCATAGTTCGACCAAAAATTACCTATGCTTTACTGATATGGTGGCCCAAAACAAATGAAATAACCGCTCAAAAGAAGTTAAGAAAAATACAAAGACTTGCTTGTATATCAATGACAGGAGCAATGAGAAGCACATCATCAAATGCTTTGGATGCCGTTCTCAATATTTTGCCCTTACACCAATTTGTTAGACTTCTTCTTCTTCTTCGCATTTCAAGCTTATTGCAAATCGCATATTAGCTTATTGCGTGCTCTCAACTTAGTGTTCTAGATGCACTTCCACAGTTATTAATTGAGAGCTTTTGATGCCTGTACCATTTTTGCATTGGTATAATTGTGTGGCAAGTCCAATCATACTTCTATGCCCAGGGAAGTCGAGAAATTTTCCAACCCGAAAAATTCCTATACCGGACCGGGAATTGAACCCAGCCACCTCCAGCATGGTCTTGCTTTGTAGCTGCGCCTTTACCGACTGAGCTAAGGGAGGCCCCAGACCCCAGTTTGTTAAACTACAGACAGCAAAAAGTGCTTTATATAAACTTTTAGATGATGACTTGGTAGGACATCTACAGATCCTTAAGGATTTCAAGTAAAATTCAGCTGTAAAAACAATAGAAGATGTGATGGTAACAAAGACAAACTACGATGTTCCCTTCAAAGTGGTTAAACCAAGCCGCCATACATGGGAGTCTGGTGGGCGAAACATACGTCCAGGATCTCCGACGGCTCGAAGATGGGTGAAGATACTGGAGTCAGTAAAATTATACCAATGGAACATAGTTCCAAAGTATTTCAATAAGAAATTCAAGGTTTGCCAAGATCTGTATATTCTCGGATAGCCAAGCTGCTCTTAATGAGCTTAAGGCGTTCACATGTCGATCGAAGTTAGGGAATGTATTCTTTCCTTAAAACAATTGGCCGGAAGGAACGAAGTCATATTATACTGGGTGCCCGGCCATTGCGGCATTGATGGAAATGAAAATGCCGACAGTATAGCAAGACGAGCTTCTGCATCGAACTTCATCGGTCCGGAACCATTTTGTGGAGTCCCTGAGTGTACTATAAGGATGGAACTAAAAAGTTGGGAAACGTCCATAGTAGAATCCAACTGGAACGCCACAGCTGTATTCAGACAGGCGAAAAGATGTATAAGACCAAGTGCAACCAAAGCCCGGATTTTGCTTAATCTAAGTAAAAGAGATCTTCGGGTATAATAACTGGTCTGATGACTGGTCACTGCCCTAGCAGATATCACTTATATAAAATAGGAAAAATTCCGTCTAGCGAATGTCGGTTTTGTCAATTTGAAAACGTACATATATTCTGTAGCTGTTAAGCACTGTTCAATCAAAGAATGTCAATATTTGGAAAAGGGATATTAGAACCCTTTGAAGTTTGGCAAAGCAATCCCAAAATGGTATTAGACTTTATAACACGAGTTGTGCTTGATTGGGACACCGTGCAATGTCATCGTCCAAAGGGAACTCCCTTAGCTCAGTCGGTAAAGGCGCAGCTACAAAGCAAGACCATACTGGAGGTGGCTGGGCTCAATTCCCGGTCCGGTCTAGGAATTTTTCGGGTTGGAAAATTTCTCGACTTCCTTGGGCATAGAAGTATGATTGTACTTGCCTCACAATTATACCAATGCATAAATGGTACAGGCATCGAAAGCTCTCAATTAATAACTGTGGAAGTGTTTCTAGAACACTAAGTTGAGAGCACGCAATAAGCTAATATGCAATAAGCTTGAAATGCGAATAAGAAGAAGAAGAAGAAGAAGAAGAAGAAGCAATGTCATCGAATGTCTATCACACCTTAATTGTGAGAGGATAGCACCAAAATGAAATGGGTCAGACAACAATA